CAGGGTCCTTGTATCAAATTTCCCATATGTTCACACCCAATGCTAATTATCTTTCCCATGAGTATCTATCTATCATAGAGAACAAAAAGATCAATATTATATTTTATCATTTTTTATGAAACCCTGTTTTCTAGATGAAAAGATGTATTAACCAAAAGACTAAGGAGGGGAAAATCTAACTTTTTTGCTTCACAAAGATTGCTGAGTTTTCCTGGGAACTAAAAGAAATGGGGATTTTTGCAATAAATTTACATATTTTTTTGTTAATTTGCATCTTTTTTAAAAAACTTTAACGTTATTTAGTTGTCAAGCTTTAAACATTCCATGTTTTTATAAATTGCACTGAAATATTTCATATTTATTTGAATACAGATCCTCATATATCAAAGTCTGTTTGTTCCTCCAAATTTCACCTTTAAATGGCAGTGTGCCCTGTTATTAGGGAACAAGACTTGGAATGTGTTCATAGAACAGGATCACAGAAGCCACCGAAGATGATTAACTAAACCTGCACATGCAACTGACAGACCTCCCTTCCCTCAGAGAAATGACCAGCCAGGTTGGATAGGGGAGAAAGGTGCCAGGATATAACAGGAAACATGACAAAAGAATAAGTTCAGTTGAGATGAAAGTATCTTAGGAAGAGGCACCAACTCCCTTTCTGCTTTGGAAAGGAGGGGTTAGGAGGGTAAAAATATGGGGCCAGAGTTTGAGGTCTGCGAGCCCAGAGGGTCAGAGACCAGAAGCTAAGAGTCACAGAGTCCCCAGTAGAGCGACCAGATTCAAGAGGGGAAAGCAAGAGTCCAGCACTAAGAGTCCGAGTCTTCAAGTTTGAGAGTCCCATATCCAGTCCTCAATCCACTTTAAGTAGAGTTGTAACTTATGTTTCCCTGTAAGTTTGTTTTATTGCAAAAAAGATTGAGAGATTGAAACACACTGACCTCTTTTTACTTTAAGAAAATATTTGTTTATACTCTCATAGATTTTCCTATTTCAGGAGTCACTATCTACTTCCATATCAGAACTGCATGCACAATCAGCGCACATTTGAATATTCAAGCTGGACCAGCCTTAGGGGTTCTAATTTGGACTGTTTCAAATCATTTAAGTGGCAGACCTGTTTGAATTAACTGTTCTTCCCAGAATGTTTAAATAATGTTTTGATAATTCTATAACAAAATATGACGTATATTAGTCACATGATAAAAATGACCCTGCCAACATTGTTGAATTGACAACGAAATGTTACCTTAGCAAGGGCTTGTTCAACCTGTTGCACAAGTTGTTCAGGTGTCCAGCTGTTCAATTCAAATATTTCAAAGGTTTCAAATATACTCTGCAATTTCATCTCAGCACCCTTGGTAAGCAAGAAATAATTATTTGAAATTTATGTTGATCATGTTGAAATACTGAGACACTTGTTGAGGAAAAGCTTATACATTTATCATCTGCATTGTTTTGTCCATAAATACAGGAAAACCTAATATTTCAAATTTTTTAATTATGTAATTACAGCTAAACGGCTTACGGCTTAATTTTAAAAATCTGTGAAAAAAATTTTATGTTGGGCATTATCTTTATCCCTACTATTCCAATGCAATTACAGAAGCAGATTGCACAAAGAACCTGTCAAATCTTTCCCTGGGATGTTCAGAACCCTAGTGGACCATCTTTGCGACTAACGTAGGCACCCTTTTGTTTAATGTAGCATATTTCAGACAGGGGATATGATCCCCAGCAGGGGTCATTCAGAAAACAAGCTAGAATGAGACTAAAAATATGCCTATTTGAGATATTTTTTTTCCCACAGTTTTAAGTTTGGGTTTAATGGTGGGGAGTGTCAAAAGAAAGAGAGGTAAAGAATGTGTTACTATCTTCCTGTCTATTTTCTTATCTTTCTATCTATGTCGTGAATCTATAATCTTAACCAGATGTTAGAATTATCAGAGACCTCCCCTTTCTGTGAATAAATTGTCTTCTCCCCCTCTCCTCCCCCCATGTCATATAAGCTGTTAAAGGCGGATCTTGCTTAAGCAGTTTTTTAGTAAAAATTAGCCTGATGTAGTTTAAGCTGTTTCGATTGTGACTTATTTTGACTAAATGCAACTTAAAATTATTTTTTGTTGTTAACAAAATTTTATAAAAATTCAGCAAAAATTTTAATGTAACAAAAATACTTTTTAATTTTTTTAAATCAAATTTTATTTTTTCATGTCTTATAAAATACGAAAAAATAAAAAGTTTAAAATTTTTGACCAAAACATTGATAATCCTGTTTTTAACGTTATAACCATACTTTTATATTTACATTACCTTATTATCTAATTAAAATTTATACAAGGGAATGCATATTAGACCGCCATCAATGGGTCTAAAATACAATTTTCGGGACTAATAAGAAAATTTAAGAAGAATGAACCATTTTAAAAAATTGAATAAGGCTAATACAAAAAATTGCTAAGGTTTACAAGTATTATTTATAAGAAAGTCAAAGACGACCAAATCTAATAATTATAAAATATACGGGGCATGTTGAGACCGAGTTAATTTGAATATCCCGGTTTCCAAGAAAACCTGGCTGCCGATGCCATATACCGGTTTTCTAGTATTCTACCTTCCCCAGGCTCCCAGCAGTAAGCAGTCTAGTTCCATCCATTTAAGATATACAGAGATATACAGACTTCATAAGAAATTAATTGGAGAAAGGTATAAAAAAAATTTACTTGTACAGTCCCTTTAAAAGCCTTTTTGATGAATATATCAGTTATAGATAGAGATGGGGGCGTTCAACTTTTAATTTTGTTTGTTCATCATTTGTGAACAAGCCATTTTGTTAGTCTTTTCAAAAATTGAATTAGTTTGTTTTCAAAATTATGATTTATCATGTTAGTTTTTTAAACTGAACATCGTGTATTTAATTAAATCTTTCACGTAAAATACTTTGTTCAATAAAATGTTTCGTTATTTAATAAAACTATTTTTTCAAAATTTTTTCGAAAAAGTTGTTGTTCAGTTNTAATACTTATTTTAACTCTAACTCTGAACTAAATGAATATAGAAAACATATGCCGGTTTAAAAAAGTTTCAGATAGATATTTGCAATCATCCAGAACAAAACGTTTTATCAAAATTAAACTTTTTTAGGTTTATGGGACGTTTTCAAAACATGCAAAAAAAATCATTTCTGACACCCCTAGGCTTAGTACGTACGTCAATATGATTCACCAAATCCATACTGCAGTCCTTCAATTATCATACAGGGAAATTTTCATCTTTCTAAACATCCCAGGGAAATATTTGACATGTTCTTTTGCAATTTTAAAAATTTTATGATTGGAAAGCAACTACAGGCTACAGGGACTGTGAGCATAATTTCATTCTAAAAATTAATTCTACATTCTAATAATGTAGGGTCACAACTTTATTTTTCTCACCCCCCCCCCCGCCCTTTTTTTGCAAACACTTAAAAGGTGTTTGACCTGAGAAGCTCAATTTTTCTTACTTTTCTGACTAACAACTGTCCATTACTTAAGTGTAAAAGTAAGTCTAAATATCTTATTTTACCTATACCAGACTAAATCTATATCTAAGTCTTGGATTTCAACATTTTATTTAAATAAGTTTAAAAGTGCACCTATCTAAGGTCCATGTACGGTCAACTTAAACTCTATGTATGCATGTAAAATAATTCTACAAAATTATTCTAAAATAACAATCACCATTTATTTATATACTATGAGCCATTTTGAAAGTTGAGCCTTTTTTGGTGAAATTTCACTACAAAAGCATAAGGAAGGAAAGAAATTTCTTTTTTTGCCAATTTTTAAAACCTCCCTAGCCCCTGAACCATTAAAGGACTAATTTCTTTTTTAATGAATGAGCTAGCTTAAAAAAGTTGGGTTTAGAACTAGGGCTGGGCACCTTCCAACTTTTTCTAGCCGTTTCATTTCCGACCGTTACAAAAAACTTTTAGGTAGCCATTAGTTTTAAAGGTAAAAACAGATTGTGTGTTTTGTTTACAATACTTTCCTTTTTTAAATAATTACTTTTTGTTGAAACCTCAATTTTATTATGGCATTTACGGAAAATAATATGCGGTTTAGGCTTTTTTTGCAATTAACAAATCAGCCACACATAAATTGTTCAAATGGCAAAAAGTTTTGTTAACAGTTTGTCAAATNTAGGGCTAAATAAACTATTTGAATAGTTTTATGTGATGTTGTCTCAGTAAGAGTTAGAAAAACATTGCATACCTTTACAAATTGTTGTGCATTTCCATGTAGAATAGATACTCCTGATTCCCCAGCAGAAGAACAAGTATTTATACCCTAAACAGTTTGAAATCTATGATAAAAGAAGGAAGCCACCAACTGAATCTAGGCTTGACCAGATTTTTTGTTTTGTTTTAGATCTTAATGGTTATTCAGCTTTAGTTCAGTGACAATTATTTAGGGGTTTACTTGATAAGTTAGTTTACACCTAAAACATAACATTACATATAACTAAGGTATTCTTTCTTAATTACCCTAAACAAGCTGGGGGGGGCGTTTAGCACCTCCCCCCCCTGTAGTTTTTTGGACATGGCAATCTCATTTTTGACACATATCATTGTGAAATTTTGTGACTTTTAATGAAAAGAAATGTCAAGGATTTTTGTAACATTTTTTTAAAGGGTTGGGTTATGGTATAGGGTGGAAACAAGTCCAATCTTTGAATAAAATAAATACAAAATAGCCTATAACTTTTTTTCTGAAGCTATAGCTCTAAAAAACTATATTTTTGAAAAGCCCTTGATAAATGGACGTAGAAACATGTTTTACCCTTTGATATTTGTTAAGAACAAAAACAATATCTTTTTCATTTTTTTGACTCTTGTTTTGGGATTTTTTTCAGCCCTCCCTAGCACCCAAACTATTAAAGTTACCAGTCTAATTATTTTTCAATGAGCTGGCCTTGAAAAATTGGCCTATTAACCTTTCATTTCAACCCCATACCTATTCTCTAAGGCCTTTATAGGGTTAAGAAAACAGGATTTTTAAGACCAGTTAAGTTGTTTTGATAAAAACGTTTAAGTATTGCTCTGAAGTGTCTGAATGTCTACCTTTACCATGCAAAACTCTGTTGTGAATTTGATAATTCTGTCCAATGTGTTAAAATAATGTTTTGCACATAAAGCAGTTATAGGGCAAAGAAGGTTCCAGAAGTTGTTAATTAGTTAGTTGTAAATCTTGGAATCAAGCATTGATATCCCATAGTGTTGTAAACCCCTAGTTTAATTTGGCCTACAGCAGAATTTAACACAATAATTGACTCTCTTAGTTCATATTTATTAATCTAAGTTTACTAATTCTATATTATTTATTTCAGGAGATTAATATTCTGGTCCGAGTTCGACTTCCATGGCAAGGAGTTGTAATAGCTCCAACCGCTGCTCCATGATGAGGGACATATTTGTGACAAGCACTGGTTCTTGCTTAAGCTGATGTCCCTCCTCACTATAGATCATTCTGCCATGGTTCTTAAAGGTTTCTATGATTACCAGACGCAGTTCCTGCCAAATCACTCCAATCCGGTCTTGTAACTTCTGCCTGTTCTCCTTGACCAGGTTCACCTGTCCCCTGTATGGTTGTAGACCCAGCTTCCTCCACATCCTGGTGACCTCGTCATCTTCCTCAAACGCATCAAGGCCATGGACATCTAGGGGAACCACTCCGTCATCCCTCTGCTGGGACTTCCTTCCCTCTGACTCCTCTTCCACCAGGTCATCCTTTCCATCTCCACATCATCTACCCCTTCATCTCTGGAGCTCTTGGATACCTCTGCACCTGCTTCCAAATCCTCAGGTTTGTCTTCGGAGGCTGAAACAGTGATTATCTCTATGGATGCATTTATTATCCCAGTGGAACTATTAGACATAAACAGTGCCTCTAACTCTAATCCATAGTCACTGTCTCCTTCCGTTATATCGCCCGGAAGAGATCCAGCAACATTTGGACAGTGATCAACGTATTTAAAGAATCCAGACATCTTTATAATAAAGCTTTAGCAACCTTTGTGGTATTTAAGTTACTTAGCTATTAATATAATTGCGAACTATCTAGAATTGGTTATTTATATATAGCGTTACTAAGCTATTTGTCTTGCTTTACTATCTTGTTTAGCTTTGCAGAGCTATCAACTTTGCGGACTTATGTTTTGTAATTAGCTATGCAGGATTATATATCCTTGCCTATCTATGCTAAGATAGATATTTATAACTAGCTATTCAGAGTTAAAGATATTTATCAGGCTATGTTAAGCTAATAGTCTGAGTTATGAATTGGTAAGAGTTGGGAGCTGCACTGACCTAAGGTAGAAAAGATTATATTAAGATTATGAGTCTTTTTACTAGTAAGGTTCTTTGTGCACTGAGCTTTATTACTTTTATTCTTTTTGTTGAGAGCCACGAAGTATCATATCAATGTTCATATGTAGGTGCATATGTATGTATATATACACTATATATATATATATAATCTTCTAGATTATCCAGATTACCACAATAGTGGTCAAACTCTGCAAAGTCAACTCTATGAAGGGATCCAGCATAGATTTTAGATTTAAAAGTGCCCACATTGGATATTGAATCTAAGAGTTCAGAACCAGCAATACTCCACACAAAAGTTTTTTCCCAGTCAAAATAGATAATAAGAGGTCACCTCATTACAGAATGCTTCTCTGTAGTTCCAAGTACAATTTAGATCATAAAGCTTTTCAGGGTTTTTGTTGAAGTAAATGTTCCAGAGATCTTGATCTCCCAATCTCATTTTTTTCTATATGTATAAGATGGTAAAAATGTAAATGAAATTGAGACCATAAAAATCACAGATGTGAAAGCTAAGAAAAATGGAGGAAAACAGAAGAAAAAAGTTTTGCCTCTTGTTTCTCTGCTTTTAAGATGGATGGATAATTTTAATTCAATTACTATAGCCCCAGAAACTCTCAGGGAGAGACCAATGATACTTTAAACATCATAATGGTTTAGATCTTGCTAGGGTTTCCACGAAATGGCTAAATCTTTTACACAAAATTTTCGAGCAATTTTTTTTTTTTGCGAACTTTTGCGCTATTTTTGCGCATAAACATATTTTTTGCAAAAGTTTGCATGAAACGAAATTTTAGTTTTGTGCAAATTTTTGCACAATTTGCGTAAAACTGGAATTTTTATGCAAAATGTAACTTTTTAGGCAAATTGTCAAAAATTTATAATCTAAGCTTAGAATTAAACAACTGAAGATTTATTCTATACATAAAAAAAAATATTGACATACGAGTATAATAATGATTATACTACACTCAATTGGTTACTTCCAGTTACAAAAAGTTTAAATTAAGGGACCAAAATTAATAAAATAGAAATTAGAGAGTGTGAAACTTGGCAATATTTTAATTCTATTGAATAATTTCAAGTGAATAAGGTGGCGCCCATGAGATTTGAACTCTTCTTAACTGTCATTGGTCAATAATGTAAAAGTGACCAATAGGAAAACATTCCCAAACAAGATTTTTCCAGAATTGAATTCTAAGAAACAAACACCGTCACCAACCGTTTGATTTTCATGAAATTGCGGAATTGCGCAAAACTATAGTTGCGGACTTGCTCAAAACTTGAGTTTTGCGAAAGTGGAATAGGGCAATTGTGCACGAAATGACTTTTGTGAATGATTGCACATATTGTTATTTTTTCGCGCAAAACTGATGCACAAAGAAAGAAAAATTTTGCATTTCGTTCTGCAAAAATTGCGCAAAAGTTTTGCGAATGGAAACCCTAATCTTGTATGAACGTATCTTCAATAAACTATTTAAATCCTGTGGAAAATAGATTTTCTTAAATTTTTACTCGGACCAAAAATAAAAATTAGCCATTTTAGAATCTGTCTTAAATATTTTTTCTGGCAAAATCTTTCAATTTTGACCCCCCATATACCAACCCTGTGGATATGTGAGTTGACTTAAAAATGATAGGTTTGATCTGTTTAGCAATTTTTAACTGGATACAACATGCAGACAAGTATATATGATTAGGGATGTTAACGTTTTCATTTTTCAGAAAAACGATCGTTTCGTTATGAAAACGACAACAAAAAATCGAAAACGAAACGATCGTTTTTAAAAACGATCGTTTTTTAAAAAGTTTTTTTTTAAAAATGGTCGTTTTTAAAAACGATCGTTTTTCAAAACGCTCGTTTTTAAAAACGATCGTTTTTCAAAATGATCGTTTTTATAAAATTTGTTGTTTCGTTAACGATCGTTAACGACAACCCTTCGTTAACAATCGTTAACGACGACCCCTTCGTTGACGATCGTTAACGACGACCCTTTGTTAACGATCATTAACAACAACCCTTTGTTAACGATCGTTATCGACGACCCCTTCGTTAACGATCGTTAACGAAGAGAGGAAACCGACCTGAAGGGCATCTGTACTTATCATTGAGTAGTTTTTAAGAAAATATCAAGGATTTTAACTCCCCCACAACTGTGAAACTTCATGTAAGATGACATTCAATAAAGTTGCATGTAATTTTTTTCCAAAAACAACCGTTTTGATAAAGTTCGTCATTTTGTTAACGATCGTTAACGACGACCCTTCGTTCGTAAACATAATTGTCAATAAAATTTTTTTTCAAAAACGATCGTTTTTTTAAAAACAATCATATAAAAAACGGTTGCAAATCGTTTTAATAAAAACAATTGTTTACAAAAACGATCGCTATTCGTTTTCTAAAAGTTCAAAACGAGTGGGTCGTTTCAAAAACGATCGTTTTTTTCCGAAAACGAAACGATCGGTTTTGAAAATGAAACAAAAACCCTATATATGATATATAGATTTACCTTGTATTTATTATAGATTGCAAGGATGGTGTTTGTCCAACTTTTTTCTGTTTTTCGTATTCTTAAACAGACAAACTATATTTTCAAATACAAAAGTAACATAATTTTGACTTAAAAGGGACCGTTTTCTGAACAAATGTGTGGGGTAAATCTAGGGAGTTGGTATGTTGCAGTGAAAATTCTAAAATTTTATCATTTTCCCCTTTTAAATCTTTGAGATTTAGTTGGGCCTCTGCAAGTATTATGATACGTATCATTTATTTACAACTATAGGGAAGTTTAGGGAATTTTACTTTACAAGGGTTTCATAGACAAATTTGACTGACAAAAGTTTTTAACTTTAATAATTTATTTTTAATTAAATTTTACAAAAGTTTTGAATATTTATATGATATCAGATGAAAATATTTTGATATTTCTATATTTCTTCTTCTTTCAATCATAACGGCTAATTTTGAAAGAAAGGATGTTTTTGTAAATTAGCCATTTTTACAAGAAGGACCATTTTAAAAGATCTTGTTTTTTCTGAGCCCTGTATTCATTTTGAGTTAATTTATTAGTATTTCAACTCAGCTCAGGCTCAGCTTTGTATTTATTGCTTACACATGTTTTTCTAGGGTCGGGAGGGGGGTGGGACGTCTCCCATCCTGTTTTCGTCTTTATTCACTATCAATAAAAAAAAGATTGTGTAAAGCTGAAAACACCCCTTCTATTTTTCCTGTCCTTTATTTTCTTCTTTTTTTGTATATCTCGTGTTTGCACTTTGAGACCTTTCCAAATAGTCCTTTGAACATCCAAGTTGTGGAAAATGTAGAGGAGAGAGATTAGGAGATTTGTAGGATGAAGGGTATAGGGAATTGATTCCTGTGTTCCTTCATTTTAAACTGTTTCCCGGTTATGGGAATTCTAAGAAAACTCATAACTGCACCCCTTATGCAAAATGAGGGGTTGGAAGCCCTGTAAAGCCCTCTTGAGGGGAATCTTCTTAAGAAGTACGGTCAAGTCCAGTCCTCAATCCTCAGCCGGTTGAGTTAAAAACCTGTATCATTGTGCATGTATACCCATTGGGGCTAAATTACTTCTTTCATCTTCAGTGAACACAGAAAACACAAAACAAGAAAGGAAAGTTTAATCTATGTATAGTTCTTGCTTCCCCTTGTAGTAAACTAGATGTGTAATTTAACAAAACATCCTAAGTAGTTTTTTGTGAAAACTTTTCAGAAGGGGTGGTTATTTTACTTAATTGTCTCAAGGCCCTTTTGTTAACTTTACATTACTCTGAAACCGTGGGTTGGTAACTTTTGTCAAAGGTGATAATATTTCTATTTATATACCTATCTAAGTCAAGAAGTACAACTCCAGAGTTTAAACCTTTCACTCCATATGATGGCACATTTACAAAAAAGTAAATTGGTCTGCAGATAGTTATCCCAGCAATCTAAATATGAACAATTTAATAAGGTTGATGCAGTGTCAAATGATTTGAAAATTGTAAGGTGAATAATTGCTCTTTTAGACTATTACACATTTTTGTGTACCATGACAACTCAAAAAAATTAACAAAATAGATAGAAAATGAAGAGTTTTTGATAAGGAATGAATTAATTTTTTTTTGAGCAACTGAAATTAATCAAACAAGAACGCCAAATAATTCCATGTTTAAAACAAATAAAGTTTAGGCTGAAGTAAGATCAAGATGAAAGGATGATGTTTTAGTAACAGCCACTAGTTTTAGTCAATAACAACCGGCATTCTTTTTTTGAGGGGAGGTTTCTTGCGATCAATTTTATGGTCATTAGCCTTACTTCTAAAGTTTTTTTTATGATCAACATCAATAAACATTCTAAAAGACAACAGCCTTGCCAACACAACCTTCATATGTAAAATCTAACCTCATGTTGATGGAAGTTATTAAACTCATCCCAAAGTTGTTCAACTGGACGCATGAAGATGGTGTCAGTATCAATAAATATTCCCTGTAATTTAAATTGAAATCTTTATAAATTATTTGTGCCTCCAATTAAGTGGAATTTTACATGGAAATGGTTTCTTTGAAAGTTAATCTACCTAACATAGAATTTTTCAAACTAGCTCTGATCATTCCCCTTGTTCTACCAAGTTCCCCCAATCAAAATTTCAGGAAAATCAGTCTAGAACTTCATGTGTTATGATCATTGATCAGTCATGGCATTCAGACAAACAGAGATTATTACTTTAAAAATCAAGATTTTTATTTATTCTTTGAATTGTTAATATCTTTTCTTTAATTCAAAAGTTCCTTTTTTAAGTTTAGAAGTATGTCTGGAACAAACATGAGCTCAGTAGCGCAGTCAGTTCCTCGAACTCTCAAGTCCTCGCTTCCCTAAGCAATGATTTGTATATACAAACTCAGTTATTGAAAGCAAAAAAGTTGCTGAAAAATGTTAAATCCAGCGGTTGAAAAGAAAAGTTACTGACAAAATTTCAATCCAGCAGTTGAAAGCAAAAATGTTGCTGAAAAATCTTAAATCCAGTAGTTGAAAGCAAAAAAGGTTGCTGATAAATCATAAACCCAGCAATTGCAAATTTCTAGCTTAAAATGTAAAAGCAAATGCAGTGAAATCGAAACAGTACATTCAACAGCTGTCCACAATTATAAAATAGTAAAATTTATGTATTTGATAATTTTTTAAGTGTTTAAAATGAAAAAGCTAGGTAAATCTAAAAATTACCTCTGGATACCAAACTTTGGTGAGGGAGAATTTTAGCTTAATACTATAGGTTTCTGGCCAACTACTTGTAGTTTGAACTAAACTGTATGTATCATTCTACATAACATTGTATCAAGCCCATTCACTGTGTTAACCCTATAAAGGCTGGGGAGTCTGAATCTGAGTATAGCCTGGGGAGGGGCGTTTCGCGCCTCAGTCTAGAAAAAGGCCTAAGAGAATAGGTATAGGGTTTAAATGCATGTTCATAGCCCAATTTTTCATGGCCAGCTAAAAGAAAAAAAAATTAGACTGATAATCATAACAGTTTTGGTGCTAGGGAGGGTGGAAACAAATGCCTAAACAAGGGTCAAAAAATTAAAAAAAATATGTTTTTTCTTTTAAAACAAATATCAAAGTGTGACACATGTTTCTACATGCATTTTTTGAGTGATTTTCAAAAATATAGTTTGAAGTTCTGTCACAAAAATGTTAGAGGCTGTTTTAGAACTTTTTTCACGGACCAAACTTTTTTCTGCCCTGTACCCTACCCTTTAAATTACTATTTATTTAAAGTCACAACATTCCACGGTGTCAAAAATGAGAATGCTTGGACAAAAAAAAACTACAGGGGGGCGCCAGGGTTAAGAATTAGCTTTGATCAAAATAAAATAAGGCTTAGAACACATGTTGCAAAATAAAAATTGAACGTGTAATTTAACAGCTAAGCTCTAAGAAATCTAAGATTTTCATCCCAAACAAATTTTTGACCAAGGAGTCTTTAAATTTATAAATATTTATAATTAATTTTGTTTTATAATTTGACAAAAATTAAGATCTGAATAAAATACTTTAAACTTTAAAAGATCGTAATATTGAAAAATAGTGATTCAAAAGAATTGTCATCAATTTTTCTGCAGTCTGATTATGGAAGATTCATAGAATCATGCATTGCTAGAATTAATTATACCCAAATCTGATCCACTGTATTGGTAGGAAATTTCATATCTGAAAATTAAATAAAATGCATGCATGTACTAACTAGAGTAGAACCTGATTCAAGCCATATGCACTTACCTGTATTAGAAATGCAATATATTAATATGAATTTAAGAACCACCTAACAAATATAATAAAGTTGTTACACACTTATTAATGTTGAGTCCAAATTGGATTAAATTTTATAATGAAATCCTTCCCTCCTATAATTTCAGATTAATATTATGAATAAGCTAATTTTTGCAAATATAAATCTGAAAAGCTAGAACTTAAATTTTTCTACTGATACCGCTAAAGGTTTCATATGCATGGTTCCATTATTGCAACAATTCAATGTATGTATGAAGTGTCATGTAATAAATGGCATTTGTGCTCTTAATTTTTTTTTCCATTAAACAATTTGGGTTTTTCATTCTGTAAACCAAAATAATAAAAGTTTTCAGTATGTAAACTTCAAAAAAATTCTAGTTATCATTCTGTTAACCAAAAATTTCTGAATTCCATTTCATAAACATAAAATTTACAGTTTCCATTTAGTGAGCCAAAAAAATTTAGGATTTCTGAATACCATTTTTTCTATGTAGAAAGAGAAGCCTGCCGATTAAATGTTTCATTGTTGTCACCAATGAAATGGAAATGTAACTGCCTCTGCAGTCAATAAAACAAATTTATTATTCTAGAAAACAAATCTGTGGAAGACAAATGAGATTTTATAAGCTTTAACCTGAGTAAGGTTTTCACAAAACCAAACTATTGCACATAAATTACCCAGATTTTTACCCAGGGAGAATTTAGCAGAAGTAAGCGAAGACAATGCAAAATCCAGTTCAAAAAAATTTTGGCACAGATAAAAATAGAGTGGCAACTGCAACAAAATTGCATTTTGTGGAGGATGGAATCCCCAAAAGAGGATTACAAAATCTGTAAATCAGTAATGTCAGATCCTGGAACCAGAGTAAGCCTACTCAGCTTCCTCTCCTCTACTGTCCTCGTTTTCATTATGTATTTATATCTAGAAGAAATAAATGTATTTCTAAAGTGGTGACCCCAGACAACAAATAAACCATGACCAAAAAGCAGTCTTCTGGTTGGAAACAACTCAAGAATTGCACAAGGATAACAATATCAAGCTACTCCTTGGGCTAATAAGCTAAACCATGGTTTCTCCTAGAGCTAATAAGTTTAACCTTAGTTAATTATGGAGTTTGTAAGCTTAACCTCCCCTACTTCTGGAGCTAAACTAAACCTCAACTACTCCTGAAGCTCATAGGCTAATCTTCAGTTTCTCCAGAAGCTAAACAGCTTCACAGGTAGTCTCGGAGCTAATCAGCAATACAGCTACTTCCAGACCTAATCAGATGGAACTTATCAGCTTCACATCTTCTCCTGGAGCTTGTCAGCTACACAGCTGTTCCTGGAGCTAATAAGCAACTCTGCTACCATATTTCACCTACTGGCAGATATTCTGGACGCCAATTCTCTACAGGTTAAATCTATGCCCACCTAGCATTCACTACAACTAATCTCTTAAAATGGGCACTGGCCAGCCTTACACAAGGTCGATCTTAAAGTGGGGAAGGGGCAGACCAGAAATTAACAACCAGCTATTTGTGATTAATGATCAATTACCACCAGAACTCCTTCTTCCGTAAACACTTACACGGCCATATGTATCAGTCTCAACTCCCTCTATGCTTGAGACTTGGGAGGGACTTCTGGAGAGGATGAAATCCCTGAAAGAGGATTTTAAAATCCGCAAATCAGTAGTGTTGAATTCTAGAACCAGAAAAGACTTTTCCATTTCTATCCTTGTTATACATTATGCATTTATATCTAGATTCACAATGTATTTTCCAAAGTGTGGTATTCTATGTTTATCCAGCATTAGTAAAAGTAAATCTTATTTTATATCAATAATTATTTTTATTCAAACCTAATGCTAACCTTTTCTAACATGCTTGGAATCTGCATCATTTGTTCCCTTGCAGTTTGACACATTATTTGAGCATTATCTTTCTGGGAATTTCACTGAATTTAGATCAAACTCATTCTGGGTTAATTCTGTATTCTAGCCCAAAACAGTTTAATGCTGAATTCAAATCCAAATACGGAAATGTGCACATTTTTTAAAGTGAGAAATGCACAAAATGTGGAATTTGCACAACACAAGATTCAGACCCCCCAGCCTTTATAGGGATAAGGGTGATTAATAATGCTGTTTACTCTTGATGGGCTTCAATGTGCGGAAAAGCTTTATCTCACAAGATATAAATACTAAAACCTAATGATTATAAATTGTATATATCTATCTTAGGAGATAACTTAGGAGCCCATCAAGAGTAACCAACCTAATTATGCAACCTTGATCTGAATCGTCTCTGCTGTTTGATCTGCATTTGCAGAGAATTTGATCAAAAGCTTAAATTTTTGTTATGTTGAGCTTTACAGTAGAAATCTCTGCTCAACAGTTTAAGTTTAATTTAATTTGTTTTAGCCTGGGTGTAAAGCACAGCAGACTTGAGCATCACAACTGCTTGTCTAAACTGTCTTTCATCTTCATTCAATTCAGCATTCCTGGAGTATAAGAAAATAATTAATAACTGCAATATATTAAATAAATAATTGATAAAACAATGTTTTTCAAGAAGAAAGAGCACACAAACAATCTAGAAATTTATTTAACATTGTCATCAAAATTTAATTATCTATTTCTAGAAATATTGTTAAAGAATTGAAATCTTTATAATCAAGATGTGCCCAGATCTCCCTGGACATTGAAAAAGCTACTATTTAAATGTTCTAATTAACCCTTTAAAGGCTGGGGGGTTTGAATCTATGGGTGACATGGAAACGCATCAACACGGAAACGACTCAACACGGAAATGCCTCAAAAAACAGAATCATAAAACTAATTTAATGTCGTCTTCTCTCAACTTAAAATTAAAAAGACTATATTCTACTGATTTTCACAGCCATGGCCGCAGCGCTCGGTCTCCTAGACTGTTCTAGCCGTAGCGCACGGCCCCCTAGCCTGTCCTAGTCTCAGCGCTCGGCCCCCTTTGTAGCCTGCGGCGCAACCTAACTTACCCTAAATTAATGGTAAAATAATTGTTAAATTTTTTTTAGCGTTAGAAGACGACATTAAATTAGTTTTATGATTCTGTTTTTTTGAGGCATTTCCGTGTTGAGTCGTTTCCATGTCACCGAATCTATGTATAGCCTTCAGTAAATTAATTAGATAAATTAACTAATTACCAGTCACTCCCTTTATTAATTGCAAAAATTTACTTTGTACTTGAACAAAGGATACAGATAAGGTCTACCACTTCGGTTCTTGCTGACTCTGTGTTGACCTAAAATGTAAAACTGAACAAGTGTGGGGATGCTTGGCTTTGTGGTCTTCTTGCTTGGCCAGGAAGGGGGTGCTGGGTCACCTTGACTTGACTCAGGAGCCCCTCATAGAGGACTCCAAACCTCCTCATTTGCAGTTAAAGAATTAAAATGACCTGGTGCTACCTCTTAATGTTAAAAAACATATTATTCAGGGTGTCCCAAATAAAACGATCCTTCAGACATTGTAGCACATGCCATGGTTAAATTTCTAAAAATGTGTACATTTTTTTATTCTTTGGAACCTTTCCAATCAATTGATTTCAATTAGAGGTATGTAGCACTAAAATTTAGGAAGTATTGACAGTTTGAAGTTTGTCGTTTTGGCTTGGTTGAAAATTGAAATTGACATTGTCATAGGTAAAACAAAAAATTATCACTGCATATTCATATTTTATTTCAATATATGAAAATTATGGTTTACAATTATAAAAATGATATAGAATATTGATACAAATACATGTTTATGGTCTTTCTACTCAAAATGCCCCCCATGGTTTGCAATAAATTTTTCTGCTTTATTCCTTACATCCATAACTGCTCTCCTGCACATATCAATGTCTACTCTAGCAACATGTTGAGATCTTCCACAGAATGAATTTCCAGGACATCTTACTCTTCATAGTGAGTTCAGTCCCTAGCTCCATTGCCTTTTTAAAAATTCTTCTGACATGACATAAAGCAGGCTGTCTTGCATTGAGAAATTTGCGCCCAAAGTCCATGATAAGACCAGGTATAAGTTTCTGTGACCCTTTCTTCTGTGATACTAAAAAGCAAGGAAGTTTCTTTCCTGTTTTGTACACTGAGGTCTTGCCATTATTAAACAATAATTGCGCATGTTTAAGATTGTTTAGAAAATTTGAATGTTTTTCAGACACTAATAAAGTTCCATAATATTTTTAAAATTCAAAAAAATCAATGCATGAAGTTAACTGAGCCAAAATGACAAACTTCAAACAGTCAATACTTTCTTAATTTTACTGCTACATACCTCTAATTGAAATCAATCAATCGAAAATGTTCCAAAGATTTTAAAAACGTACAAATTTTTAGAAATTGAACCATGGCAAGTGCTACAATGTCTTAAATATCGTTTTTTTGACACTAATTAATCTTAAAATGGTTTTGCAGTACTTTCTTGAATATCCTTAAACATTGCATAACTTTTAGAATATTCAATATATTGTTGTTGTAAATGTTATACTCCTGTTGTATCTATTTTAATGAAGTGTTACAGATTAAGTCCACTTAAGTCCAATTAAGTAACATCAAGTAAGCTGGATTTGATGGCGAAACTGGTGTTATTACGGGTAACAGTAAGAAATATGTAATGATATAACACTAGATTTTTTCGCCTAAAAATCAAAGTTCTGGAACTCGTAGCATGATTTCAAGTAACCCTCCTTGCAATGTTTAATTCACAATGGTACCTTTAAATAAAGCTTTGTCAATTCAAGAATGATTTAGATATCAATGTTAGTGATATTTAAAATCGATTGTTTTCAACTCAGGTTTCTTTTCAAAAAGTGGCTTGCACATTTCTCCTGCAGGAAAACAATCTGATATAAACACTTTTAAACCTAGAAACGTGACAATATCTTAAACAGTTTTGATCAGATAAAGGTTTCTATTGTACCATTTTGATAGGGTCATGATCTTTACTTGGTGCTACGACATCTGCTCTAATACCATTTGCTCTATGGCCATTTGCTCTATTAACCATTTGTTCTATAGCTCATAGATCACGTCATTTGCTCTATAAACATTTTTATGACTGTGATGGTCAAATTGCTCTACTTATCATAGGCTCTATGAGGCAAGTTCAGAATATCTTTACCATCTATGAAAGTTTTAGCCATGGCAGAACAATTCCTCCTTCTATAATCAAGACATCTCTTTATTGAAAAGTCTCTCTGTCATGATGAACTATGAAGAACTGATTAAAACTGCTAATTTGCGAATTTTCCAAAAAATTCCCACATTTCATAGTCAAGTTACGCTCAGGAGTTCCAATAAAAGCTGTTTTATAATGTATTTTTAGGTTATAGAGCAAATGACATGTTTAGTCATATAGCAAATGAGGTATAGAGCAAATGACTTGATATATCAAATGGAACTATAGCAAATAGCCATAGAGAAAATGGAAATAGAGCAGATGGATAGGCACTTGAAATTACAGGGTAACTGTATGAGTGGCTACAACATCTATTATAGGGTGACAGGGAGAGATCACACAGAAGCCTTCTTCAAACAATCTTGGAGTCTAGAAATAGATTTGAATTTACCTTCTTTAAGGGAAAGATTTGAGCATTTTGAGCTCCATCTTCTGCTGGAAGAGTTTGCTGATTCTGTTAAGAATACTGAATTTATATTTGAAAATAATTGAATCATATTTTTATTGTACCCAGCATGTCAACAAATGATATTAAAAATCAGGGATTCAGCACTGATGTCTTAAAAATGAGATTTTATTTGATCTCAATTAAATTTAGAAATGATTTAAATGCTAATAAAGTTAATATTGTTGTGCAGTATAGTTACACTTGATAATTCAAATATATTTTTTTTCTGTTTTAACATTTTATTGAATATTGAAACTTTCGTCATCAAATGGCAAGAAAGATGAAAAATATCCTGCTTAAGCAAATTAGTGTTTTGAAATAACTTGTGAACAATGAATGTTAATAAATTTAAATAAACCTTGAAATTCATTTTGAATTAACATTTAATAGCTCATTTTCGAATGATATATACTTTGGAGAAAAAAATTCAGCAAGAGCTGTTGAACGAGCGGTGGAGATCTTGTCAAGAGTCTACACAGTTCAGAATAAGAAATTAACATTTTTTCTCAAATTTACAATTTGTTCAATTGCAATTTTTTGTTCACATTTTCAACCAATGAAATAAAATTTTTCTTGAATAACCTTTTTGCTTTCAACCACTGGTTTTCAGATTTTCTGCAACTTTTTAACTTTCAACCACTGGTTTTAAAATTTTAAGCCACTTATTTGCTTTTAACCTTTTTTCAGATTTTTCAGCAACAATTTTGCTTTCCACTGCTGGTGATCAGGTTTTTCAGAACTTTTTTGTTTTCAACTGCTGGTTTAAAAATTTTTCAGCAACTTTTTTCTTACAAACGCTTTCAGATTTTTCAGCAACTTTTTTACTTTTAACCACTGGTTTTTAGATTTTTAGGCAACTTTTTAACTTTCAACACTTCTGGTTTAAAAATTTTTCAACAACTTTTTTGCTTTCAACTGCTGGTTTTCAGATTTTTCAAAACTTTTTTATTTTCAATCGCTGGTTTAAAAATTTTCAACAACATTTTTCTTACAACTATTTTCAGATTTTTCAGCAACTTTTATGCTTCAACTACTGGTTTTTAGATTTTTCAGCAATTTTTTAACTTTCAACCTCTGGTTTAAAGATTTTTCAGCAACCTTTTTGCTTTCAACCGTTTTAAGATTTTTAAGCTACTTTTTTGCTTTCAACCACTGGTTTTCAGATTTTTCAGCAACTTTTTAATTTTCAACTGCTGGTTTAAAGATTTTTTAGCAACTAGTTATAAGCCAAAATAAAATAATTAAAAGGTTTGAACACAGAGTTTGAAAAAAAAATTTTTCATGAACATTTTTTTACCAGTGGTTACAAGCAAAAAAATGTTCAACCCAGTGGTTGAAAGCAAAAAGTTGCTAAAATATCAGAAAACCATCAGTTGGAAGCAAAAAAGTTGTTGAAAATCTGAAAACCAGCAGTTGAAAGCAAAAAAAGTGGCTGAAAATTTTGAAAACGGTTGAAAGCAAAAAAGTTGTTGAAAAATCTAAAAACTAGCGGTTAAAAGCAAAAAAGTTGCTGAAAAATCTTTAAATCAGTGGTTGAAAGCAAAAAAATTGTTGAAAAATCTGAAAACCAGCAGTTGAAAGTAAAAAAGTTGCTAAAAAATCTTAAAACCGGCGTGGAGTTTAAAGTAAAAAAGTTGCTGAAAAAAAGGTGCATGTCTTATTTTTTGAACTGCATAGAGTCTAGGCTAGATCTCAACCGCTCGTTCAACCGCTCCCGCTGAGTTTTTTTTCTCCAAAGTATATATCATTCCTAATTTTTGGAAAAATGCATGGAAATTTTAAGAACAATTCCACAAGCTTAAATTTTCTAATCTTTATATCTTTACAACTATAACTAAAGAATGCGCAAAAGTTCCGAATAAAAATGAGTTGAGACTTAAATTTAAACATCAGCTGTTCTGTTTCATAATTTCAATTTAATCATGTAACTGTACCACTAATAAAGTTCAAAATATATTTCAGATTACACGCTGAAGTTAGTTAGTTCAGATATTTGAGGAAAACATTTTAAAACTTTGGACGTCAGATTAAATCATTTTCATAAATGGAAATGTTGCGTAATAGAATGCATGATTTCCAGGTTTAAATTTTTACTTGACAAAATCGATGAGTTAAATATTCATTTCAGACTCTGATGGTGTGAACATCTGATATTTAAAATTTTATTTATTTGATTTTACAGAAATATAAAAGGTCTAAGACTTTTGGTTAAAATATAGAGATTAGATAATTAGAATTTGTGGCAAAGACTCAATTCCTTTGCAAAATTTTTGGTTCTATAACTATAAAATGGCATTATGCAAAAAATGATGATTTTTATTTCATGTAAATTTTTGAATAAACTGCATGAATTACATAAATCTTGCAATGTGTAACAAAATTGTAATGCAGTTACTAACAATTTGCTCCTAAAGTTTGGTTTTTCTCCTTAGTTATACATATAAATTCTAGGTAACCTTTCCTCGAAGAAATTCAAATGTGAAGATAAAAGTATTAAGCACACAACACCAGTTACAGAAACAATATACTGTAAAGGTGACCTGGATAGAGGTTTCATTTTCTGAAAATAAAAGACAAACTACATTAAAAATATATAAAATTAATCAAAACAATTTTACTTTTATCCAATTTGCCATAATATAATTTGATAAACCTTCAAACCTTTGATAAAAATTTCAGATCCTGTTTTTTACCTAATAATTCTTTAATTAATTCTTAAATTACAAAATTAATCGTATTATTATGTTTTTTGAAATTATTTCATGCTCTTAATAAGAAGAAAAAATAGTCTTAAATTAAATAAAAATACTTTATCAGTATTCAAAGCCTGAAAGATAATTAATTTAGTTTTATAAAAAAAAATCTGAGCTTTGAACCTGTTCAAAAAAGCAAGATATCAGATAAAAGCTTTTTAAATGTTTTTGATTCATTTAATAAAATTTTTATAAAAAAAAACTTGCCAGGTCGAGAGCTGATATTCTTCTGACTATATTTGAAAAAAATGATAATCTTGATCCATGATGAATAGTTATAAACTTGCCTGGCTCTGTCTAAGACCATCTGTAATATTTGAGTTAAGATACATTAAAAAGTAATATATCTTAATTATGTTTGTTTAACAATTCTTTAGAAACTAAAAACACTTGTTATCTACAAACAATTCCATGTGAGTGGATTTAGATAAAAATAATTTAACATAAAGTACAAAAGTTTTCATTTGAACTAATTTTTTCTTGATTTCATCAACGGAAAAGTTTAAATTATAACAATTTTACAACTTATTAAGGTTGATAATAAGTGCACTTGGTTAAATAGCAGCTTTTAATCTGCAATAGGTCAAATACTAAGTTTTGTAGATTTGTTGCATAATTTCGTACACTTTTACAAAGGATGAGGCTGCAGAGACGACTGCACAGAATTATAGTTTATTGTTGGTTATTTTGTAAGGTTGCTTCTATTTCAACAAAATAATTGATTTATAAATATTAATTGTAGTTGATTATTGTGGAAGGTGCTACCGCCTTTATTGCAACAAAATAATCGATTTTTTATATATTCATTGTTATCATATTCATGCTAAAACCCACAGAATCAGTTATTTCTCATTTTATCACAACTTTTGTGGTTTGGTGATAGAAAAATGAGTCCTCGAAAAATATTGCAACGTAATGTGTGTGGGTACACAACGGACTGAAGAAGTAATTTAACAGCACACAACCTGAGTAAGCATTTGGGGCCAGAGAGTTATCACTATGTTTGCATCGCCTGTGACCTGAGATGCCCTTCTCTTCAGGATATAAATCGACATCAGCTGGCAGCCCATCCAGGTAAGAAATTACCAAAAGGTTGAAGTCTAATCATAGCACTGAATGACTTTTACTTAATTTGAGTCTATAAGTTGACTTCCTTTTTCAGAGTTTTCCGTTTATCACTGTATCCTTGGTGAAGGAAGATAAAGGCATGACATTTTTTCTATTTCCCATTTTTTAGCACCAGACGCCATTGAAGCCGGGAGGTTTACAGAGACCATGGAAGTGGCTGACATGGTTGTGTCTTTTACAGTGGAGATATGGTTTTGGTGTCTCCCATCCAACCGCTTCACGGACACTCCAGATCTTCTCTACTTGCAGAAGAAGGCGTCCCTGACCCTTCTGAATGAGTTCAGGTCCAGGGGCTTGTCTCTTCAGGAGGCCATCATTCAGGAGATCATCCGCAAGAGATTTCCTAGCATGGACCAGGAGCTTTCAAGCTTTGCTAGGTAGGGTCTATCATTGGAAAGAAAAAACTTTCCACTGGGGAAAAAACTACATTTAAAAAATTGGGATTATTACAGTCATGCAACTAATTGAGTTCTGATAATAGTTGAAAAGGTCTTGTAAAACGTATTATGGCGTTATTTTCAAAAAAGTTTGTCAAAAGTTGTTGATATTTTTGTGCTCTAAAAAAACGGAAACAATTCACCCATTTACTGTTTACCATAGGAGTTTGTCACCTGGATCATTGAATCTATTTGAGGAATACATGAAATGAAGCGTTATTTTTTACCAAACCCTTTTAACAGGAAAATGGTCCAGGGCATTCTGGAGGTTCTGAAAGGTGGGATGGGTCTGATGCTGAAGCAGGTCCATATGTTCGAAGAGTATGGTGGCGGAAGCAGGAAAGGGTTTGGCATTTATGCCTCTAGGGACTTAAAAGCTGAAGAAGTTTTCAGAACAATGTATGGGGCCTTAGTTCCCATCCCGGCCGGCAAACAGGTGATTTCATTAATAAAAATAAAAAATGATTAATAAAAAAAGGAAAATGTTCTAAAACTGCTTTTTTCATTCATGTTTGAATCATACAACATTTATCTAATGCTGATTTCATACAATGTTTGTTTCAGACGGATCCATCCCAGAATTTTAGCTCCATCTTGGCAAGGAGGGGCAGGGGGACCTCTGTCATGTCCTGCAACTTGGCTGGGCCGCTGCAGTTTGTCAACCACAGCTGTCAACATTGGAACTCCCAGTATGTGACTGGACCAGGACGGAAGTCGAGTCATCTAAAGGTGTGGATATGCATAGAATGAAAACATATAACTTAGATATTTTTTTATGTGAAAAGATTCTGAAAGATCCTTTTTCAGGTAGCAGTGGACATCAAGCAGGGGGAGGAAATATTAGTCCACTACTACTATTGGCTGGGTGACCGGGAGAGCAACAGTTGGGAGGCTGGATGTTATTGCTGCCAATAGACCTAGAGATGTTCGTGTCAAATATAAAGTTTGTAAAGATGTTCATAATTTCGAAGTGAACTGAGATTTTAATTTGTAATGACTAAAAGTTTTAGTCCTGCTCTAGCTAGATNTTTACACTCTTCCTTTCTTCTTTGGGTACAAGTTATAGGAGCAGAACTAGGTTCAGATTTCCCTCCTACTCCGGGTACTAGTTTAAGGAGCAGAACTATAGGTTCAGATTAGTGTTTAACTCGGAATACTATATACAGGAGCAAACTGGGTTTAGGTTTTCTATTCTACTCCTGTATCTAGTACCCGGAGTAAAAAAGAACCCTAAACCTAGTTCTGCTCATGTAACTAGTACTCGGAGTAAGAAACCTCCTCCCAGTTCTGCTCCTGTATCCCAGACTCGCTCCTTACTTCAGGACTCAATCCTTACTTCAGGACTCATCCTTACTCCATGGACTGAATCTTTGCTCCATGGACTCATCCTTACTAAAGGACTGAATCCTGAATCCTTAGTTCAAGACTCTATCCTTACTCCAGGATCATGAAATAAGGATTGAGTCTCGGAGTAAGGATTAAGTCCTGCAGTAAGGATTCTGTCCTAGAGTAAGGAATTTGTATTGTAGTAAAGATTCAGTGCTGGAGTAAAAGTTGAGTCCTGTAGTTAGATTAAGTCCTGAAGTAAGAGTTGAGTCCTGGAGAAAGGATTGCAATTTGGAGTAAGGATTAAGTCCTTAAATGAGAAAGAGTCCTGAAGCAAAGATTGAGTCCTTAAGTAAGGATCTGTTATAGTTTCTCAAACCACAACATATCCTAGTTTCTTCAATTGAGTTAGGATTGAGTTTTGGGGAAAGGATTGAGTACTGGAGTAAGGATTGAGTTCATTGAGCAATAATTAAGTCATGGAGAAAGGATCAATTCCTGGAGTAAGGATAGAGTGTTGAACTAAGGATGAGTCCTGGAGTAAAGATTGAATCCTTACTTCGGGACTCAATCTTTACTCCTGGACTTATCCTTAGTTCAAGACTCTAATCTTACTCCAGGACTTGAACATGAAGTAAGGATTAAGTCCTGGAGTAAGGACTAAGTCCTGCAGTAAGGATCCTGTCCTAGAGTAAGGAATTTGTTTTGTAGTAAAGATTCAGTGCTGGAGTAAAAGTTGGGTCCTGGAGTAATTTTAAGTCCTGGAGTTAGGATTAAGTCTTGAAGTAAGCATTGAGTCCTGGAGTAAGGATTGCATTTTGGAGTAAGGATTATGTCCTTAAATAAGAAAGAGTCCTTAAGCAAGGATTGAGTCCTTAAGTAAGGATTTGTTATAGTCTCAAACCCCAACCTATCCTAGTTTTTAATCCTAGTTTTTTCAAAACCAAATCATCCTAGCTTCTTCATATCCTTTGTCTTTTCTCCATGATTTATCCTTTATTAAGGACTCCTCCTTGCTTACAGATTCTTCCTAATACCAGAACTTACCCTTGCTCACGGACTCAGTCCTTACTCCAGGATTCATCCTTACTTGGACTAAATTCTTCCTTCAGGATTGAATTTAGTGATGGAGAAAGAATAAAGTAATGGAGTAAGGATTGAGTCAGTTGAGTTAGGTGTGAGTTTTGGGGAAAGAATTGAGTTCATTGAGCAATCCTTACTCCAGGACTTGACCCTTACTCCAGAAATTAATCCTTACTTCAGGACTCAATCCTTACTCCATGGACTCATCCTTACTCAACGCCTCAATCCTTACTAAAGGACTGAATCCTTCCTCCAGGACTAAGTCTTTACTCCAGGACTCTATCATTAGTTCAAGACTCTATTCTTACTCCAGGACTTGATCATGAAGGAAGGATTGAGTCTTGGAGTAAGGATTAAGTCCTGCAGTAAGGATTCTGTCCTAGAATAAGGAATTTGTATTGTAGTAAAGATTCAGTGCTGGAGTAAATCTTGGAACAGGGGCTTAGACCTTAAAGATGACTAAGAAGAAATGTGGCATAGAACTAAAAATTGACTTAGAAATGTTGCTTAGACAAATATTATGTGAATTAGAAATGTGTCTTAGATAAATATCATGACTTGGAACTGACTTTGGCCTAGACCATAAAGATGATTAGGACATGTGGCTTAGACAAATATCATGACTTAAAAATGAGTTCTAGATAAAAATCATGATTTGGAACTGTGGCTTAGACCTTGATGATAACTAAGACATGTGTCTTAAATATGTGTAAGCTGGAGTAAGGTTTGAGTTCATTGAGCAATAATTAAGTCCTGGAGAAAGGATCAAGTCGATCATTACTCCAGGACTTATCCTTAGTTCACAACTCTATTCTTACTCCAGGACTTGATCATGAAGTAAGGATTGAGTCCAGGAGTAAGGATTATGTCCTGTAGTAAGGATTCTGTCCTAGAGTAAGAAATTCGTATTGTATTAAAGATTCATTGCTAGAGTAAAAGTTTAGTCCTGGAGTAATTTTAAGTCCTGGAGTTAGGACTTGCAATATCTTAAAAGTATAAGAGAATTGTGTAAAGAGTTGTTGCACAATTTTCTGCATTGTTACCCTAAAGGATGAGGTTTCACAGAGGACTGCACAGAATTGTAGTGTGGACAGTTCTTAAGAGAGATGATTTCCTGCAATTAAATTTTTTTCTCTCGGAAAATAATTAAGGTCAGAAAAAGACTATTTCTAAGCCAGAAGACTAAATTTTCCCTTTCATTTAAAGAGTTTATGGTCGTCTTTACAATCTCATTCTTTGTGGGTCCAGGAAACTAGCCTGGCAAGATACATCTGGATTATTTAAACCCCTAAAATGGTTAACATATTAGAATCATGTCAGGTGTAGTAAGGATTATGAATTAGTAAAAATTTGGAATTAAAACAGAAGTATTACAGAGCTTCCAATATAGCTTTAAAAAGATCTTATGCCTTGGTCTCAATATAGCTATAAAAAGATCTTGTGCCTTGGTCTCAATATAGCTTTAAATATATCTTATGCCATGGTTTTTTTTCCATTCATATTAAGATTTTAATTTCCCTTGTAGTACAGCCTTTGAAAAGTGAATTAGAAACCAGAGTCATTTTATCTAAAAAGGGTGCGGGGGGCAGGATGGCATCTTCTTCCTCTCTTGCCATGTAATTAGGAAATACTTTTGTTGTTAAATTCATCTGAAAAGCACAGTGAAAAGCAATGCTTCCAAATTCTTAGCTCTTTCAGTCATTATTTAACTGGAAAGTTAATATTTTCTTAAAAAGAGTGAGTAAGGCATCCAATTTGATTTGCCTTTTGCTTTTGATGCTTCCAATGCTTCAAAATGTTGTTTTTGATGCTTTCAAATTACACTTTAAATGCTTTTCTGCACGGTCAAAGCATCCAAAGTGTTGAAATTGAAAGAATATAATTTGATACCAGTCCCGGGGTTCAAAAATCGATTCACTGACGTAGGATCAAACGACCCAGGGTCAAATGCCATAAGGTCAAACGACAAATGGCCAAAAAGCAACAAAGGTTTGGAGAACGACAAACAAAGTATGACAAACGGGCAAATTTCATTTTGACTATATGGTGTTATTTTGAACTATCTTTATGTTCATTAGAACTAGAACCACAGCGCTTGGCCCCTAGCCTGTCCTAGCTGCAGCGCATGGCCAAAGTACTGTCTTAACCTAACCCAAAAAAATGTAGGGGCATCATTTAAATATATAATATAAAATAATTTTCCCGCCAAAATTTCCCCCCCCCAATAAAATAATTTGATTTTAAAATAATGCTTATTCTGATCTTTAATAATTTAGTAAGTTTTCTTTGAGAAGATTTTCGCTCCGTCTTATATTTTTTTTAAAATCATGAGAGGTTGCGTGATTTTTTTCTTTTTTGAAATGGTCCTCATTTAGCCAGTCTCCCGATATTTTTTAAAAAATCATGAGAGGTTGTGTGATTTTTTTCTTTTTTGAACTGGTCCTCATTTAGCCAGTCTCCCGTCCACAATTGTCTTTTCTCTGGTCCGAAAAAGACCAAATTGGTCCACAAAAAGCCAGGTCTCATTTGATCGTGAAAAAACTAACGCAAAAAATAACGTGTCCCACTTTGATCGCGTAAATACGAAATGATGGTTACATAAAAAGATTTTTTATTTTTGTTCTCTTCTTTGTGTATTTGAGTTGCTGCATATTTTTCTTTTTTGAAATGGTCCTCATTTAGCCAGTCTCCCCTCCACAATTGTCTTTTCTCTGGTCCGAAAAAGACCAAATAGGTCCACAAAAAGCCAGGTCTCATTTGATTGTGAAAAAAATAACGCAAAAAATAACGTGTCCCACTTTGATTGTGTAAATACGTGGTTACATAAAAAGATTTTTTATTTTTGTTCTCTTCTTTGTGTATTTGAGTTGCTATGTTTATATTATTTTTTTTTTTTTGCTTATATCTGTTATATTATAGGACAAGCTCCTGATGATGCCTAAGTTTTTGGCAAAATATATTGAGAAGAAAATGTAATAATTCTAGTGCTATAGAGTAGGGTTGGGATTTGTTTAAAAACTATCTAAAGTAAAATATCTTGAAGTCATGATAAACAAATTCACCATTTCAATCAGCATTTATCTTTATGGGATTTTGAATAAGAGGCAATGATTTTTTGTAGCAAATATTAGAAACACAGAAGGAGCATTTAATAAACATATTACGAAATCTGTTTATCATGACTGTAAGAAAACTCATTGATGTTTTGGAAGCTCTTAATAGGGCTGGGCGCGTTAACGGTGGAACGATCGTTCTTTGCCGAGAACGAACGGAACGATCAAGAACGATCCCATCGTTCCAAAAAAAAACGAACGCTTGGAACGCGTTCTTAAAAATATTGGAACGATTNGGACTCATCCTTATTCAAAGACTCAATCCTTACTCCAGAATTCAATCTTTACTCCAGGACTTATCCTTAGTTCAAAACTCTATTCTTACTCCAGGACTTGATCATGAAGTAAGGATTGAGTCCAGGAGTAAGGATTAAGTCCTGCAGTCAGGATTCTGTCCAAGAGTAAGGAATTTGTATTGTAGTAAAGATTCAGTGCTGGAGTAAATGTTGAGACCTGGAGTTAGGATTCAGTCCT